ACATCAGTTCACGTTGCCATACAACGTTAGCACAGAGACGCAATTGTCAGTTCGAATCCCGAAGTGGTGAAGATAGTAGAAGAATTAGCAGTAATGGAGAAGATTAAGGATCGAAGATATTATTCAAGAAGTATAGTTCAGAGAGATAACTTCAGAAAGAGAAAGATAGAGGTGATAAGGAATTCTCAAGATTAGAATTTTCAGAGAACACAAAGTATGGATTCACCTGCGCCATTATGAACGATTATGAGAGATGTCGTTCAGGGTTTCTCTCTCTATAGTGGTAATTGATATTTGTCGACTAATCCGGGTGACTAGATATTGTATGAACTATGTTTTCATGTGAGTTGGTGGAAGACAGGCAGTAAGATACACAAATCCGTGTACAATGACAGTATTTTTACAGTAACAGAACGGAGAAACAAGCATGTAACTAGCAATGAATTTAATCTGTTCAAGAGCATATACTCTTAAATTTTATAAAGGCACCTAGAATAAGCAGTTCCGAATTCTTGTTACATTTATTAAAGTAATAAAATAATGTGGTTTTTCATGATGATTTAAAGTAGATCTTGCTCGTTTGATAACATAATGTTATAGATTAATTGTTTGATTGTTATTTCCAATTTAATTATACCATAACCAAAATGTATTTGCTGACTAATTCACTAGGAGAGTATGTGTTCTTTAAGGTCATGTGTAGAACTACAGCAGGTTTCTTAGTAATATTGAAAATATGGATTAAAGTTGGTCTATTCACTTATCTTATGAATGTTACATAAGAATTACTTTTGAACGAAATTGTTTATTTTGAGATATGCATTATGGGGTGTGGAGAGTGTTGAGTTACGTTTCGAAATCATGAGTCGATCAATGTTAGACCGCCATTAGAAACCTAGTAGCACTGGGCGGCCGTTTCATCCTGGTATGGGACTCATCAGCAGTGCTCATACATGACTCCTCTACTGCATTCGATTCGAACTCAAGGATCTAGGGTCTTGCGCGGGAACACCTAACTTCTGGAACACTAAGCCGGTATTTTGAGACTGTGATTGACATTACCAATTTTAATCACCTGTCTTTTTTTAATCTTTCTGTGTTGAAGTTTACTTTTGTTTGTGCTTGCATTCTTCAAATTTTTGAAGGAAACATGTTTTTATTTTTCTTTGAAATTTAAAAAATAATTATTGTTTCACATTGTTTCGCATTCATGCACACAAACAGATTGATAACATATTTGAACGCTGGAGGATATGAGCTTTGTCATTAAACGTAATAAATAGTATGTTTGCTTACTCATATGGCATTTATTTTGAGTATTGATTAAGTGAATGAACCGATAAATGTACAACTTAGAACAATTGCTACCAATGATGCATTTCATAGTTAACATTATGGATTAATCTTAGTTAAACAACCAATGAAAACTAGAAAGCATCAGATGTTTGTTTCAATGCATTATTGGACTTCTCGGGAGTAGTGTTATCTACAGTAGAACTTTGTCTACAGCTTGTAACCCAGTTAATCCTCGTTGTACTACTCCACATCGGAAACGTTGTTCATGATATAGGAGCATTTTTTATCAATAAGATAAAATGGAGTTTCAATTTATCGTACACGTGACTTTAAAGACAATTTCTATCCAAAAGAATTAATACTGATTCGTTAAAAATTATCGAAGTCTATGTCAATTATTTCAATTAAAGAACATGAGTACTTACACATCACCTCTGTTGGTATAAACATTACAATAATCAAACAAGATTAATAATCAATCCCTAACAAGGGGGGGTTCTGTCTTCTAGTCATATTCATGATAAACAAATTCATACTGGTTAACTGAAATCGATCAATATAATCCCGAAACAATTTAGTGTATAATGGTGTTGAGGCGTAAAAAGAGACATCAATTGGATCCATGTTTCAGAATGAACAATAAATACATTCAACTGATAAGTCATACAATCTAAAAACTGTACTAAAATCAGTTTAGTTTGAGATATGAAAGAACCAAACTTGACATAAATTTAATAATCAGAAGATATATATCAAATATCAGTGTATTGTTGAAACTGAATAGAAAACGATTTTCTGGAAAATACACACAGTATGTTGCATTTTGCAGCAAGGATTAAACAACGAAAGCTCCACAACCGAAAGATTCAGCTCAGAGAAAACGAAACACCACAACAATCATCCCCATGAGCTACAAACTTTCTCCACCATCTCAATAATAAAAATGGAAACAATATTTTCATAATATTTCATATTATTATTATTATTATTATTATTATTATTATTAACTTTCTGTGAACCAGCTGCATGAAATTAGTCATAATAAGTACTGTGTCTGACAGACAGATTGAAATTGTATTTTCAACATTCGAAAGTGAATAACAGCAACAACAACAGCTACAACAATTGCATAAATGATAAAAACACATTTCAGACGTAGTATTGTGTACTTTCTTTGATGACATCTACAGATGACAGTTTTTTTTAGACAATCATTAAAACAGAACCACCATATGAAATAAAACAGACGATAAACTGTAATAGGATTGATTATTTCTTCAACGCTCTTTGTGTGTCTCTCTCTCTCTCTCTCCCTATCAGTCTCCAAAAATTAACAAACAGAATATATGTGGTGAATTTGAAGCAACATAGACAAACAACCACATATAATCGATCTTATCAATCAACTATTACGAAAAAAGAAATAATTAATAGCCCAATACGAGATAAAGAGAGACACACAATAAGGAGGAGGAAGGGGGGTGGAGTAATGACATAGAGGATGACATGGTAAGACAATCGACAGACAGTTGCTTGGATGTAAACACTGAATAGTAATATACAATAATGTTATGTAATCCTATTAAAACATCAGTGCTAAAAAAAGAAAGAATTTGGAAAATTGTATGACAACAGTCTATAAGAATTTAAGTCAGAATATAAAAATAATACAAACGTACTAAATGCTTGAAGTGACCAAACAATTGTTCATTTAGATGAAATTCATAAGTCAAAAGAATTTGCAAATTAGCACTGGGCTATTAAACATTGTCTTACCGGTTAAATGGTAATGCACTTCTAGAAATATCCGAAAGTTTTCGAGTTTACTTATAATTTAATTACATACTGCTGAAGAATTCCACAAAACTATCGGTTAATTTTAAATTGTTAAGGGTATTTTATAAAATTGAAGGTGAAAAAGGAGGAAGAACTTAGTTACATGGTGATTATTGTCATAAAATTTGCAACAATATTTTAGTCAATGTAAAGGGGTTGTGGAACTTGTTGAATTTTGTAGTTGTATATCACGAACTAGGCTAATTTAGACAAGTCATAAATACTAGGAAGCACTGGAGATGTAAATCATCGAAAGTCAGCTCAGTGATCTAACAGATAAAGCATTCGACACAAGGATTAAAGGTCAACAGTTTGATATTTGACGAAATCGTGATGGATGAGAATTACCGATGAGTCTCAGAGCAGAACAAACCAAATGTTCAGTGCCTGCCTTCTGTATTTAAATGGTTATTGAACTAGAATAATTCCAGGACACAAAGGTGAAATGTTTTCAATGTTAGATTACTATAGTCAATTGACAAAGTTTGGTAGGTAGTTTTAGGATCTCAAAATAATTTAAATCGTGAAATAAACGAGAAAACTTCACAATTTTGTCTTCATAGTTTAGATCATTCGCGGAAAACAACAACACTAGAATCAAAGCATTTTTAATTTTCTTATTCAAATCGAAGTGATGTTAACAGGTTAATATTCCCTTTCACATAAAGCTACTATAAGAGTTATTAGTATATGAGTTCAAGAAAAACATTAGTTTATGTAACAAGAATTATCACTGTATTCTAGTCATTTACTGTAATACATTGTAAGTCAACAAAAAATTGATAACTAGTATAAAGGAAACATGGAAACTACTGGCATTCTTGGTACAAATGACGGACTTAGTTTACACAATAATCAAAAGCTAGGAAAAACTAAAAATTAATTTTGTTTTATGATAGGACTTCCCCCAGTAGTGTTTATTTGCGATTAAGGAGTAATTGAACTCAAGCTCATCAGAGTTCATTGATATAGTTTAATCGGTAAACTACTATTGAGTTAGTATTCAATAGTTTACATATTTAGAGTCGATCTATTCAAGATAATGCACTGCAACATGTCAATATTATAGTGATGATATGCTCGTCAATTGATGTTATTACGAGTTCACCTAACTCGGAAAACGGAGCAAAGACAAATGATGCAGTGACAAGATAGGCTATTCTAATCCGTTGTCCCCGGCCCAGCTAACTATATTAAAAGTCGTGATTTGGCCTAGAAAGTGTTTTATACAAGTACCCAGAAAATACGAGGTTACCAAGCACACAAATAGAGCTTATTTATACATGATAGAAACGTCCTTGGGAGAGCCACAAAAATAGCGTACTAAAATAATACATCAACCAATAACAGCCAAGGATTTCCCGAGTGGGGAATGTAATCTCAAGGTCAACTGAGCGAATTATGCGCGGAAACATTAAAAAAAATCCAAAGTTAGGACCTTAATCATGTGAGTTCTGGGGACCTAACGTCCTCGACAAGTGAATAAATACCTTGAACTCCATATGATTAAACTTCATCAAGTTCTCAGTAGAATTCTGAGAATTACAACACTATTAGTATTTCATTAATATAAAATGTTTATGGAAATTGTTGATAATTTGATTTGATAATGATAAATGTTACTTTTTTTAAACTTCAATCAACCCTCTCATTACATCAATTAGACGTAATTCAAAGAGTAAAACTTTCAGTTTTATCTATTTTATAAAAAAAATACTTTCTAAAACTGTTAAATCCAACATATTTGAATAATGTAGATAAGATAAAAGAAAATTCATCAATATATATATATATATATACCAATTAAACTTATCATTTAAGAAAAGTATATCAAATTTAATTTTAAAAAAACAGAAGGATAAACCTACCTTCCATTTGATAATTTCTGCTTCTAAATATGAACGATTTGTTGCAGCTTCAGCATGAGCATTTTCCAGTTGCCTTTCCATTTCTTCATGAACTTTTTTAAAATTAATTTCTTGTAAAGAAATTTTATTCTCCAATTCATGATATCGAGCATCTTTAAAGAATTTTTTTAGTTGAAAAATAAAATAAAATATAGACAATGTGTGTGTAAGTGTAGTGCAATTTAACGAATACAAAAAAAAAACGTTTACAAACTGACCATTAGTAGTATATTAATGGAATTCGAAGGATTAACTGAACAAAGGTGTGCATGCGTAGGTTATATATATTTTGTCTGTCTGTCTTAATCAATATTGACAATGTAAGGCAGAATACAGTAAGAGGTGTGATCATTCGACTCTAGGTGTTGACACGCAAGATGATATGGGACATATTTGGAATAAGTGAAGTTTTTTTTTAAATGTGAGTGAGGAAGTGTATATCTATTTTGTAAAGTACTCGGTGAAACGGATCCAGGTGGTTAAAAACGCAGATTAACGTGACTTAAAGTAAATGAAACTGGTTTGATTGAATTAGAATGTTAGCTTATCTACAATTGAAGATAATTCGATATTTCCCTTATTTTATCTTCAACTTACAAAATGAATACAGTAGTCAATCAACAACCAACCATTAGTCTCAAGCACTTAAAACCACTTTTGTTGCATAAGGGAAAAAGACAAGCCATCCAAACTTCTGTTTAAGGTAATATTTACGAGAAGCGATTACAGTCTGTGGACTCTAAGTTCAAAGAATATATTACTATAGTATTGCATAAAAGTTCTAAAAACATTGATTTTTCTTCATATAATCTTTCTATCAGCGTAGCATTTCACCATAGTGAACAATTTAATTCAACGTGATTCACTATTGTGATAGACATTGTAGTTTTTGAATAAATGTAACAGTTACTTGTTTTATTTTTTTCTTGGATTACAGCACTACAGAAAAATGTGTCACTTGGGTTTCTTCTGTTTTAAGTGCGAGAAACCATGCGGGTGTGTGTGTGTATGTATGTATAGGGATTAACTGGACAAGAATGACAGGCAACGTGTAACTACTACACTAACAAAAATACCAAACACATCATACGGAATCACAAAATAGTCAATTACCCATCCCTATTTACAATAAATGGCCATACTAGATTAAAAGCAACGTACACAACTTAATAACAACACTATGAATCAAGTCATGAATGAACTAAGAAGCATTAAAAGTAAGATAAAATTGTGGATTATACCAAACAAGAAGAAGGATATTTCTTTCACTTTTCATCACAAATGACATCGATTGAACAACAGTATCGCGTTTACAATAATCACATATTACTTACTTTCTAATGCTTTTGTCGTTCTGAAAATATTGTTTGTTTGCTTGTTTATGATTGTTGTTATTTTGTTTATTGAAAATGTAAATAAATACATCCGGATTTGATGCGCTGTTTAACACTAACACATACAACGTGGAAGTCAGTTGATTGTAATCTTAGTGACCTTAATAAAGATATTGGATTAATGCATATAAATGAAGTATGTGTAAAGCGCCTAATGTCTTAAAACAACAAGCATTAGGTCGTTTTGTAACCTTCGGACTATTTATTAAATCAATCATTAATTAAGTCATTCAATATAATGTATAGTTCATTATTTGTTCAGTCAAATATAAAGAAACATTATTAAATAATACTTGATTTTAAAAACTATAGTAATAATAATAATAATAATAATGAAAGTGAAGATTTAAAGAAATACAGCATAATGAGCGAGTACTCAACAGTTTTGAAGATTTGCAACAATAGACAATTCAGGTCAATAAACATCGATGATGATTCAGCACAACTCTTGTCTTTGTATAGAGAAACCTGAGGATCTTGTTTGTTTATGATTTCATTTATTTTTTTTCAGATTCAAGTGTGAAAGTTGACCAAATGTATCAAACTCCGCCTGTAGACCCTTTGGGGCTACTGCCGGTACCAAGCCTGGATGAAGGAGGGGGGTTGTGTATGGAGTAGGCAACCCCATCCCACAAAACCCAAACAAAAGTAAATGAAACGATATTCGAACTCATGACTTAATGGTAGACCATTGAATTCATAATCAGTAAGCCACCAATCCATAAGTAAATTACATGTATACCAATTTGATTAGTGAGTATACTGATTAAGAAAACAGCAACGAGTTCTTTTCAACTGTTGTAAGAAAATTACTTCCACAATTTTTTGATTTCGACCAATTTGGTCTCTCGTGCTGTTACAGGTATGAGGGCGGTTATCACTTCCGGGTGCCCACACCGTGGAAGGTTGTTTCTTGAGGGACCTGAAAAGGAAGATAGATTAGTGTTGGTCTTGGAGACCTGGGTGCGTGACCGCAGAGCCCAGGGGACAACTGCTTGAGGCCGGTCACGCACGGCCTTTTTATGAAAGGTTTTTTGAGTATTAGCCCCGCTCTTGAAAGCCCTTAGTGGGCACCCTTACCGCCGGAGACGGATATCCGTGATGTAGGGGAGGTGTGACATTTTTAGGGTCGACCTTTTCTAACCCTTCCTTCCTTGTGAGAAGGCAGCATCGCTGTAGATGCTGGTTGTCCAAGGGAAACACCTTACTGCTGTCACACCCTTCTGCAGTCAGCAGTACGACTTCGCCCTCAGACCTTGGGTAGCTGCTTTTAGTCTGATCGTTCTCCAATCCACCTGCCTGGCATGGTAGGACCTTCAGGAACATATGTTCCAGCCAATGTAGCTCAGTTGGGTCATCACGATAGCCATCCCGACTACCACGTCAAGGTAGTAGCTACAGTCGGGACTTCCACAATATATTGTGATAGAAATGAATTTTGCAATTTTTAGCAACGAACTGATCGTTAACACAAATAAATATTCTACCAATTAAAAACAAACAGCTCCTTTATACGGTAATTTAAGGATAACAGGAACTAATCATTTAAAGAACTATTCTTACTTGATTTTTTTCCCAACTTTTCTCGATTAACAAACAAATACCTATTTGTTTAATCCTTAATGAAAACTCTATACTAATCATGAACATGAAACATTCACTTTAGGTTCCATTGTTAGTTGTATTTCATCTATTCGATAAAATCGTGTTACATAATAGGTATACCGAGGTAATCCGCACATGACAGATATAGTAAAATTAGACTGAACGAAATTCAGTGAAGAATATTGATAATGAGATCATTTACATGATGAATTACTATTTTAAAATCAAAACAAAAATAAAAATACAGTTCGGGTAGAATTACAACAAGACACAACAACGTGTAATATTAGACAATGATGAACAGTGTTGCAATGCAAAGCAGCATTATATCGCAAAAACAAGACAGTTTTGTAAATAAAAAAACAGCAAAGAGAGAGATTGTAAAATAACGAATGGTTGTATAAGTAACATTGATAAGATGAGTAGAACAAAGAGAGATATACAAAAATATAAATCAATAAATACGACTATGATTGATTTCCAGACTAGTCAATAAGAATTTATTAGTCAACAGATTTAGTAAGCAATGCTGTTATTAGGAATCGGGTGCTAGGTAAAGATGGTAGGTCAATAGATGAAGTAGTGAAACTTCATCAGTTGAGGTGGTTGGGACATGTGTTACGTATGCTTAACCACAAACTGCCTCGTTGAGCTATATTTTGCACTGTAGGAATAGGTTGGAAGAAAGCTAGGGGCGGCGAAACCAAAACATGGCACAAATCCATGAAGTCACTGACAAGTGGACTAAGTCATGTTAGTAGGTGTCGACTACCTGGTTGGGACCCGCGAGAAGATAATAATCGATGGTTAGAGACACTGAATGACATGGCTCAAAATTGTTTGCAATGGTGCAAGTGCATCCATTCTTTATGCTCCCTCAAATCATAAACTTTTTAATTCTTCATCACTTTATCTTTATCTTTTTAAGTCTATTTCACTAGATTCTACTTCTTGAATAATATCTTCTAATCCTAATCTCTCCGATTACTGCTAATACCTTTACTACCTCTACTACTATGGGATTTGAATTGACAATTACATCTCTGTGCTAATGTGGTATGGCAACATGAACTGATGTACGTACGTAGGTACGTAGTTTTACGTTGCTATTGATTGATTGATTGAGTCAACTAATGAATCGAATAACACATCAAGCAAACAGCGTCTGACTTTGTGAATTGATCATAATATCTACATTATGGTATAAAAATATCCTACTTTCAACTCAAAAACATAAACATCAGTACATATATTTCGAGAAATGATGTTTTAAAATATCTTCCAATTGACCTAATCGGTGTAAGTATAAAATTTAACCATTAAAGATTAGAACGTTTTCAAATAAGATGTTGGGTTATTCAGAACTATCATTTTACAGTATTACTTTGAACAGAAAGTAACTAGAAAAGGTATAAACCAAGATATATTACGCTGTGATGTAAGCGCATGATTCTTGTTAGTCAATGGATTTCCGGAAGACCGGTTATTCATTTTGCTGATCTTAAAGTCTTTTTTCATATGTTGTCAGTGTGGTGAAATCAATGCTACAAATACGTATGTTCAAAAATGTCATCGACTTTACTCTTTTCTCTCAGTGATGTTAGGAGGAATCATAGAAATAGTTATTCAGAAAATAAAATGAAAGCAGAACTGTTAGAGTGGGATAGGTGAACAGTAGTTTCGTTAAGCTTATTATAATCATTCTATGAGATATTGGACAGTAAGTTACAAAAACCGGTCATTTTCAAGAAGTTTTGAGTATGTTAACTCCAATTCTCATGTTTTTTTGCTGGAATCATGTCGTCTACACTTAAGCATTTCTACTACCATTGATATTATGACAGTGTATGCTACTCTGACATCTGTATTAATAATTTCATCTCATTGTTCTAATGTAATGTAGAGATATGGATGAATACACATTAGTGCCAGATATTCTACATTACCAACGACTAACACTCAAAGGTATGTGTAGCCAGGAATTGCATTGGTAGTAGTAGTTGTTGTTGTGTGTTGTTCTAGTCGAAATTTCATAAATGAGTCAGGGGTTTTTATTTTCAGCTGAATGGTGCGTTTATGAATTCATTTATTGTCCGGCAATAATCAACAGCGTTTATTTCAATCAAAGGTAAATATTTCGATTATTGCACAAGTATTGAATCAAGAAATTATGACGACTTTGTTTAGAATTAGTTTTTCCGTATATCATAATATTTTTAAATAATTTTGTTTTCTTTTTGTTATTTTCGGGCAGAGTTTTGGAGGTTTTGTGTTTTTACACATTTGAAATTACCAATCAAACATTGTTAGACCACCATTAAAAACCTGGAAGCACTGGACGGCCGTTTCGTCCTGGTATGGGACTCATTAGCAGTGCGCATCCACGACTACTGTACCTCACAGGATTCGAACCCGGGACCTTCGGTATTGTGTGCGAACGTTCAGTTGTACTCAAACCAAATAGTTTTGTCAATGTTATCTGAATTGATTGTCAACTCGGACTTATATTGATATGTCGGTTGATTGCAAATAGGCTTGAATACTATGCTTCTAGGGAGTTAGTTCTCTAGAGTTCTTAAAATTTCCAAGTTAAATGTCTGACATTTTTAAAATCAAATTAATGTCCTTAGTTGCTGATACGAATTAATTTGAATGATAACATGGCTTTCCACTGACAATCTGTGTTTGTATGCAAATAGACTACAAACAGAGCATCCAGCTTGCCCAACATTGTAGTGCTTCTTACAGTTGATACAATTTATTTCAATAGTCAATGTTACAGGTGTTTTTTTTAATTTTGCATCTACCCTTTTTTTTAGTCCGCACAGAATGAAATGAACTGATTACATGAGTGTTCTTGTTATGGTTGACATTTTATCGCCTTGAGCATTGGAGAACACAAAAAAATATTTTATTATACATTCATTACATAATAATAATAATAATAATATATTTAAACAATAAAAATTAAAGAAGACCATAAATAAATCTTACTGGCTTGTTCTAGCTGTACACTCAATGAATTGATTTCATTTACATGTGTATCTGACAATGTTAATGCATCTTCTAATTGAATTCGTAAAGCAGTTAATTGTGATTCACAATTGGCATGATTAATCAGATTGGAATCTATGACATTTTCATTTTCATTATTGATTAATAATTTATTCATACTATTCACATTATTATTATTATTATTATTATTATTATTGTATTTTAGGAAAGAATGTTTACAATAATCACATTTATTCTCTTGTAATTGATGATTTATTGATTGATCAAGTTGAATCGGATCGAATTTATCATTAGCATTATTATTATGATTAAGATTATTATCAGTAGTATTATTATTGATTAGATCGGATGATGTGGTTGCTGGCATATTGGATCCACGTAATGAAGTTAAATGCAATCCAGTCAACAATGCCAAATGATGTGGATGTGATGAGGAGAATGAGAAACCTAGGAAAAAAAAAATTATTAAGCGGTATAAGAAATAAACAAAAAGAACAAAGTAAGATGGCGACTATTCATGTTGCCGACATGATGAATTTTAGAGTTTTTCAATACTTTTAACACTGAAATGTTTATGTATACAAGGAAGTTAGATACTGTTCTACAATGCAATATGTATAAATTTCAATATACAGTATTGACAAAATGGTTGAGAACTTAAATGTGTAAAATAGCAACAATAATAATTATTATTATTACAATTATTATAGTAATGATAACACATAAAACTATTAGAACACATGTAATAACAATCGATTACACTCCCAGTCACTGAAAAATGCTTATTCATACGGATTTTTATTAACATGATGAATAATTTATTCAGAGTTATCAGAAATAGATCTGCGGACTATTTACACTACTTTTTACTAATTATTAACGTTTCAGATACTAATAGCGTTGTAATCTTTTTTTATGGTATGCCTAAATCGGAGGTTTCAGTCAAGTCTCAAGATATAGAAAGAGTATTTGGCGCTTATCCTGTTTGCTGACTAACTAGGTGAGGTCAAGCGAATGACCATACTTGGATCCGATATGGGAGTTTCAACGATGCAGCATATGTCTGTGATACGAGATCCTGGAGTTTTTGGCTAATGAGGTCCAACTGTCCTATTCGACACTGGATCCAAACATTGAATAGTCTATTAATCAAAGTTTGAAGTTTACTATCAGGAGGCCATTTCTAGCCTTTTATGAACACAAATCTTTATCATGCATAATGCGTAGGGAAAAAAATGAAACAGAATAAATATTGGAGATGGGAGAAGGGATTTGATCATGAATATACACTCATAAGGGTGTATGTGTGTTAGTAGTTGTTACTTCGCAGTTGTGCACATAGTGGAAAAACGATTTTTACTGATGTATCTGATAGGTTATAGACCAAAACAGACTTCTGTCACTTACCATTTTATAAAATTACCTTATATGACTTTTTTCCTATCAAATTTGTTTACGCTGTTTAACATTCATCTTAATTGCAGTCAAATAGTTATTGTTTTAATGTTTTAATATACTGCGTTGTCATCATATAATCAAGAATGTTAACAAGATATGCTTTCATTCAATCACTATGCACTGGATCAGTCTTTCCTAAACAAATGTTTAGCTTGATAACAAATCTCTAATTCAAATCAACTAGACGAAGATAGAAAAAAAAAACTTATTATTTTTACTTATCATTTTAGGTAACCTAACCTAAAAGGATTCAGTCTTTATTGATCAACGTCTAATAAGTGAATTTACAGGCCATTTATAAGTGAAAAGGTATAGAAAACAAAAGTATAGTATAGTATAGTATAGTATACTTTACCATACTACGTTCAACATTGGACTTTCTGTAATAAAATGATATAAAATATATGGGCAAAACTATCAAATGATAAGATTGATATGAATGTTCATATTAAATCCTTTTTGTATAAGAAATAAATTTTTTTTAAAAAAACACACACACACACCTACCTGCAAATGCTAATTGACTTCCTGGCAATTCCAGTAAACTATCAGAACAACGTCCAGAATATTTATGATCACTGTTAGATGATTCAGGAAAATTACCACCACGAACTACATCTTTACATTTTCCATTGGTTGGTTGTTGTAAATCATGCCTATTATTATTATCATTATTATTATTATTTCGGTCATGATTAGTAGAATTTTTATCATCAACTGTATTATTCTCACCATCCACTATCAGTTCATCATCTTCATCATCAGTTTCTTGTTGAAAATAGGATGTATCAGTTTCACTGCGTAAATGTGGTTGAAACGGTGCACGACATGCACGTATATTCGACCATGTCCAATCAGCAATGGATATATCCATAGAATCTAAATGTCCATCAGTTTGTTGTGATTGAGTCCAATCAACAGAAAACCATGGATGATTATATACGTCAGATAAAGAATGTGCTTGACTGCCAAGTCTTTCAGTACGATCACATAGAAGCTCTGAATTAAAAAAAAAATAACAATTAACAAATAAAAATGAATAGTTTATTAAAACAAAAATAAAACCAAAACATTGAAACAAATTTTTAATCGGCAATTTAGCAATCAACTACATAAACTTCTACGATTAATTTTAAAACAATGGCACAAAATGCATTGATTTAGTAAGCTTACAAGTTGCATTTACAGTGTGTGAGTTAGGGATACTGGCCAGCTGTTTAAATTTAAGTGGTTGAATCAACATTTTTAACTTAAAGCTACACTAACGCGGAATATATGTGGCACTAAATCAGACCCAGATTCAGTGAAAATAAAACCCTAAGAAACGTTCTAAAAAGAGTTTGAACAAATATTTAAACAATCTAATCCGAGAAAGAATCTCACGATAAACCAATCCTGGATTGATCGATGAAAAATAGCCAGAAACAACGGCTAGCTAGCAAATAGTTCAAATGGAGTAGAACAGATTATCCTAAAAAGTTCAGACAAAAAATCAGCCAACTGAGTCTCAGGGAAAGCTCTAACTTGGAATATTTAAGGACGAAGGGAAAGAAGTAGACCAAAGAAGATATTGTGCCAAGAATTGGAGACAGACGTGGAAAACTAAGTAGCAATCGGATAGAACTGGAAGCAGAGCACAGGACAGAGTTGGTTGGAGAACCCTGGTCGGCGGCAACCATGGAGGGGAATAGGCGGAAGTATGTTCCGAGGAAATAGTCATCGAACAGAATATCTCAGGATAATCAAGTGAGATTCAAAGTAGGGCTTTATGTGGTTGAATGATATGTGAGAAACAAACCTAAACAAAAATGACAGGAAATAAAGAATTCTTAAATCTAGTAATTATTAACAAAAACTATCTCCACAAACTGTGTCAAGTCAAAAAAAAAATCAACCTAACTCCTTGAACTACTTATCTTCGTCATAAAATAAAAAAGCTGCTGATGAGTGAGTGCATCATTCGAAAGATTCAATTCAAAATATCAATCAGTCAGTCATAATCAAAGTACAGCATAACATAAATGTGCATTAGCCCAAATCGTCACACAACAAACATGAACAGGAATGATGGGAATTAAGATGTAGCGCAACCAGATAAAAAAAGTGGGTGAATATATCATGGACTATTATTGTTCAACATCTGCATCCCAGTGATCGTGATCTTTTGGACGCCAATCAAGTAATCTGCACCTGCCAACATTTCTCAGATTCACAATCAGTAATTTTCACGAACTGATATTTTGTTTTGGTCTCTTTTCAAATTATACCAAAACTAGCTAACACAACCCATCAAGATGGGCAGTGTTCGGATACCAAATCTACTTTTTGTATGTATGTACAGAAATTTTCTGTTGATTTTTCATTAAACAGTTATATAATTCTGAGCAAAAATTTATATTTTACAGTATCTAGTTAACTAACAACAACCTTATACACTAAATGAACAAAACACACACACACACACAGCCAACGAATTTCGGTACTACCTAATGAATTGTTTAAAAATGACGAAACGATTCAGCATTATTTCAATGACAAATAAGTACTATATAAATATAAAATATAAAATGTAAATCATATGATCGAAGGTTGATAAGGTGTAAGTGTACCCTGAAATGATTATTTGAACCAAACAAAATCACCTGATAATCAATAACAATAACGAAGACGATAATAATAATAATAATAATAATAATAATAATAATAATAATAGTGATACCACCAGTATAAGTACAGATAAGAAAGAAACAGAACTAAAAAGTTCAGGCAAAAATCTTTTAGTAACAAACATATCAATAAAATACAAATTGAAAATAACCTGATTGATTTCTCTCCAAGAAACCTACTTAAAACTAGATTTGTTTTACACAGCTAAATTCTCTTGCTTATCACTTTCTTATCTGCATACATAATTATCACATTTATTGGATAAAAAAACAATGAATAGAATAATAAAATTAATAGTTAAGAGAAAGAGAATGAAACTGATATGCTTAAAAAACTACTACGAGTTCACCTCACTCGGTAAACAAGAGCGAAGACAAATGATTCAGTGACACAATAGGCTACTACTCTAATCCGAGCGTCTCAAGGCCCCATTAAGTAGACGAAGAAGTCTTGATAAGGCGTAGAAAGTGTATTCTACAAGCACCCAGAAAATATGAGGTTTTACAAGCACACAAATCGAGTTTATTTATAAATGATAGAAACGTCCTTGGGAGAGCCACAAAAATAACACACTAAAATAATACATCAACCAATGATAAGTCAAGGATTTTCCGAGTGGGAAATGCAATCTCAAGGTCAACTGATCAGCACATGTGCGAAAGCATAAAATCCAAAATTAGGACCTTTATCAAGTGAGTTCTGGGGATCTAACGTTCCCAACACAAATTGAGATAAGTGGAGATTGATGAAGATCATTGACATTAAACTAGGATTGTACCATTTAATCACTAAAAACTTTCATTATTAGTAATATGTAACTTACTTCATTTATTTACTACATTTCAATGTGAGTTATTAAAATATCAGACAATGAACAAAGGAAATATTCACAATTCTAACTGAATATCAATCATCTCAAAAGTAAAATATATCAACAGACAAGACCTTTTGCCTGAAGAATTAATCAACGGAAATTCATTAGTAAATAATGTGTTTTCACTTGATTGTAAAGAAGTTTCCTCACTCTATTAGTTATTTTTGGTCAAATGGCAAAATGGGAACCTAACTACAGTGGTACACTTATTCTAGTGCACGAAAACAATAATAGAAATAACGAGATATACATTAACGGTATAGTTTTACTAACGGTCACATAGTAACCATAACCTAAAGTTTCCTTCCAAATGGGGCTACTATACTCAAAGGTGTAAATTTGCCGGTAAAAAAAAAGTTAAACAAATACAGTACAATGTTTGTCCATACAGTTACTTGGTTTTAGTATTTTGAACTATAAATAATTGATAAAGATAAGCAGAATCTATTAATCCGGACATTTGGACAATGTAGAAAATATGAACACAACTGATAATTCTTAAACTATGTGGATAAGTAGGAATTTAGTAGTGAATATTAGCCAAATAAGTCAGCCAGTCAAGTGTAGCGTAGAACCTGGAACATATATATATCTTTTCAAGTTGGTATATAATATTAGAACAGAGGTATAAACTTATTTCAGAGTGGTAGAAGTAGTAATAGAGTCATTAGTAGTAGAAGTAGTAAGGATTAGGCATATAAAAGGAAACAAAGTATAAAGAGCTTCCGAGGAGATTTTGAGGAATGATAAAGAATGATTGTACCTGCATCATTGTGAACGATTCAAAGCCATGTAACTTAAAGATTCCAGCCACTGGTTATGATAATCATGGCAGACTCCAACCAAGTAGTCTACATCCACTAATATAGCAGTCTGATTTTCAATGATTTTGTGGACAGGTGCCATATCTTAGTTTGGTGACCTTAGGTTTCTCCTAGCCTATTTCCAGTCTAGACTACACAAAGAGATAGATTTTTAGCTGATAAGTTGCAATAAATAAGTAGTACAAATTAAAAATACTTAAGTATATCGGAAGCTGATCCACACATATTGAATTATCAACTAGAGTAGCAACAATCCAAGAGCTCACAAGATAAACTACGTACAAACTTTATTCAAGAGGGTAAGAACATACTGCTGTACACTTATAGCGCAGAAAACTAGAGGAAAGTACTTGAGACTATCATTCGAAAGAACATATCCGTACAACTTAATTAAAAAACAGTAATTTAACTCATCAGCGGAAATGAAATGGAGTATAGAAATCAATTAGCGGACCATCATATTATATAAAAAAGATAAGTTAAAACTTACAACGAGATTACTGAAGCCGTTTGAAATAGATACAGCATATAAACCGACAGAATCACTCTAATGAATCCTATGTAAACCGAAGGACATGATGACAAACGAAAAAAAAGACAAATATCATCTACAAAACAAACTGCTTCAATTGCGAAAAACATTACATCGAACAAAGTAGACGTTTGCTTCATCTTCACCTGCATGAACATCAAAACATGTGGACAATTGTGAAATGTTTAAGCGAACACGAAGAACACTAGAGAATTCTTAGAAGTTGGGCACTCAAATTAATCAACAATCAACAAACGCATCGAAATAGATTCAATTTATTGACCAATTGAAAAAATCATGGACAATTACATGGTCGAGAATCAGATCAAAATAAAACAGACAACAACAGGTTAAAGCTTAACAATAACCAAACAAGATTTAGCCTGACGGAACAAACTGTGAGTCATACGTGGGGGAATCCGAATACTTTATTCCGACCTGACGTTTGAGCTGATGATGTTGTCCAAAAAAAACAATCAAAGCTCCACAATCAAATCGTTCAGCTCATGTTTGAGTCTTGTTATAGGATGTATACGAACCCAGCTGACGAGCCTCAAATGGCACAAAATGCTCGCCGTAGACTCTACCGTTAAGCACCATACTCGCCAAGGCACTTTATTTGCATAGAAATGGTGGGTGATGTGAAATTCACTCTGACTACTAAAGTTTAGGTAGCATAACCTTTCGTATAAATCGATAATCAACGAAAAAGTGTAACACTTTATCAGAATGGTTTTAGCACAGAAATTCATTAAAAAAGTACACTATTGATAGTCCTTAAAGGACTAATACTTCCTAATTTAAACAATATTATACAGAAAAATATTATTACGAAAAAAAGGCAAGAAAAGATTTATGCATATATTATTCATAATATAAATACATATATATAACTAACTCACTTTTCATAAAGTCCAAACAAGCATCGGAAACATTAACATTTTCAGGAAATTTCAAACTATTTGCATGATTCATAATATTAGCATAAGTGTTAACTAATGTTTCTGAATAGAATGGTGTAATACCATAAAGCATTTCATAAATCACAACACCTAATGCCCACCAATCCACTTCAAATCCATAACTTCCACCGCCAATTCCCTTGGCGAGAAAAAAACAAACGAACAAACAAAAAAACATGGTGATAATCATCATTGAACAAAAGCCTGTACATTGAATATGAGAAATAAAATATGGCATAACTGATGTTATATATTGGTGTCATAAACGTCAATGTAATCAAAATACAATCAATTAGAGGTTTTCTTGAAAATATTACTTGAAGTAACTATCTCAGATATACCGTGAATTAATGCTACTCTACTCTACTAAGCTGAAATGTTTCGGTAGGCATGTAATCCTCAAGAGCTTTGCAATAGATCCTTGAATCGGATCAATACTAAGTGAAGAAAAGTTATTATTAAGAGTGTAAAAATCACAAGTGAATAAATATGTGAGTTACAAATTATCAAACTAGTTTTTTTTCATACGATGAACACAAGTAAGAACCCATTAGTCATTTTGTGTCCTCTAACAATGTGCAATATCTAACCAGAATAAAAGTACAATGAAGGTTAAAATGCAGTAAATTTTTGATTTGATATTATATTTTTCATTGAATTATTATTTCTTGAATACTGTTAGTTGAATAAGAAATAGAAATTATATCTTGGGGCACAGTTTTGGAGGTTTGCGTTTTTACACATTTGAAATCATCAATCGATCATTGTTAGACCACCATTAGAAACCTGGAAGCACTGGACGGCCGTTTCGTCCTGGTATGGGACTCATCAGCAGTGCGCATCCATGACTCCCATACGAATACGAAACGGCCGTCCAGTGCTTCCAGGTTTCTAATGGTGGTCTAACAATGATTGATTGATGATTAGAAATTATATCATTTGATCTCTGCTCACTTAGTTTTTTTAACCATTTAAATAACTGATGTTGATTACCTTCAACCATTTAAGATTAATGAGGTAGAAAAGTTATACCCACAGTTTAATCATGCTATCTCACCATATTATTATTATTAATTGTAATCGATCAATATAGGGCAATCTACCTTTTCGAATTGTTTTATAAAGTCTGCTGATATATTATTCACTATGTATTTGTGACGTCAAGTCTTGTTTATGCAACAAAAACACATAATAATGATGAGTCCCATACCAGGACGAAACGGCCGTCCAGTGCTTCCAGGTTTCTAATTGTGGTCTAACATTGATCGATTCATGGTTAAAAATAAAATATAATAATGAATATTTAATATTCCCCAAAGATTAGACAAGTCATCATATCATATCATCATCATAAAGCAAACTCAATTTTCCAGTGAGACAAAAAGAAAATAAATCACAACAGATATAAACAATGAGAAATAAGCAGATGAAAACTTCATTCATTCCATGAACTTAATGATTGAATTTAAACAAGATGTTCCTTACATGAAAATCGATTTTAATTATTACTGAACAGAGGAGAATGTGTGAAATAGTTTCAAGACAATTTCTTCAATAGAATAATATGATAATATGTATGATACACAGATAAATTACATTTCATTATCATACAATAATGATAACAGTAAAATTCAATTCAAGTTTTAAACAATTTATCAAAAATAAATTACAAAAGTAAATAAATGAAGAAAAATAATTTATATAAAGGTTGAAAAAAAATCAACATGAATAAGTTGAAAATGATTGCAGATTCAATAAATTATCTTATCATTCAAAAATGATTTATGTCTCATTAACTTTCATGCAGATTGAATCGTCTTATTTTAGGGTCTAACCATAATAAAGTACCATTATTTATATAACCAATGAAGACTAAAAAGCTCTGAATAACTTAACTATTTCGTTTTAATATAGTTCTACTCAGAAGTGCATACACACACATATCACGAACCGACCATATATCCCGAATCTAAGATCTTCAGGTCATGTAGTGAATATTTAACTGGACCAGACCTCAACTTTAAAACAATTGTTGATTATAAAACATATAAGTAGTACTACAAATGTAAAAACAAGAATTTTTATCAAGTGGTGTACTCTCCCCTCCCCCACCTACCCCAATTACATAATGGCGAAGTGCATCGATCAAAAACACCCATAATTAGAACCTATTTATAGCCAAATGAAACGAGAAACAATAAGACTACACAGAATATACAAAGAAGCCAAATTTACAACCTATAAACATGCGCAAACGATACATTTCGCAACTATCTATCCCTCACTCATTCATCACAAGAACATCATAAATTAACCTCAAACTCTTTACAAAATTGAATTATGAATACTTACATAGTATTTGTGTACATTTAAAAATATAATACTAAAATGATTTAATAAAAACAGAAAAAAAATGCAGGAATCTAGTTGTTTATACAAGTTAGTACGCAAATGACGATAATGATGATGATGATGATTGTATATATATACAACTAGTATCATACCATAATAAACAATACTCTACATAGAAATGTCGAAATCGAAGTACTACTAATCATCAAACAGCAACAACAACAACATGTTAAAGTGCACCGAGTAATTTTGATATTTTCATTTTATTCTACTCGAATTTTCTTCGGTAGAATCAAAACTAATGTAAAAGGTAAATATTAGTAGTTGTAGTAGTAGTAGTTGTTGTTGTTGTATTCATGAAGAAAGTTTAAATGATCAGTTACTGCTATAGAATGTTTTCTATTTTCCTTTTTCATTCTATTTTTTTTTCAATTGTAGATAAAACAAAATATAGACAAGTAGAGAACAACAGGTTTTATATGTCACCTACATATTGTGTAGGTGTGTCTATGTATCACTATGTTTGCGTGTGTATTCAAGCACAACTAAAAAAAAAAGAGTGTGAAGTGGGAAAGGAGAAAAGTATCATTCCAATACTACTAGATTATTGATTATTCTTGTATTCTTGTATTTTTTTCAAACTCTGTTAACCTCATTTTTCTCGTAATGCATTTTTTTCTCCCCCCCCCCTCTCTCTCTCTCTCGCTTAAAAAGCAAGTTCCATTCAATTGTGCAAACGGTTTGTGAATATGAGTGATTAATGGATGGGTACACACGCACACGCACACGCACACACACACACACATATGTATATATCCAAATGCGATCAGTCAATTTTCATTTGTTGCAAAAAGTGCACATTTCCTCAAATTCACACTTCAATATAAAAAAAACAACAAATGAATGATTCAAACAAAAGTCTGTTAAATTCCAATAGTAGTAGTTTACAGTTGGGAAAAATTTAATTCAATATGTAGTGTGTAGTACACTCGTATATGTATGAAAATCACTAAAAGTTATTTAGAATTGTTGCTGAAGAAAATAAAATATACATATCTCACTTCATTGATGCGACTAAATGAATTTGAATAAAACATGACGATTTCGTCTAAGAAATAAAAGAACATCACATCAATCTATGCACAAATAAAACTGTCTAATTGAGATGAATTGTTTAAACAATGGAAGTTAGCAGAAAAATGGAGAATAAGATTCCTATACAAGAGGTAAAACATACGGAAAGGTTCCAGCTAGCACGAAACTTATGTCCGGGTTGCTCTGTCGACTAGCATTAACGAAGTATAATAGTAACACTTTCATGTAATCGATAAAATAAAACATTTTTGGAAATGCTAGAGATATGGCTGAACAAAAATAGTAATCTTTGGCTTGGTAATGAGAAAGTAGACAACACAGTATGATATTGCATTTTAGCCTTAACTTTTTCTAACTCTACCTTCTGATAAATACAAACTTGTGTTTTTATGAATGTTGGTTAAGTAGAGCGGTAAAAAAAGAAACTTAAGATAGCTAGTGTTATGAAATAGGCTACGCTTTTTGTTAACCGTCATACAACCGAGGTGGTAGGAAATAACAAGAGAAACTTTCTATAACGATGTAGGTACCTTTATTTCTCTTAATATCCAAGTACTATTGCAGAATATCGTAGTAAAATGTTAGTGAAATGATAAGACAGTTATTTCTCAATGAATCCTTTGAGTTTTATTTGTACCACACATAATCAAGCCAACTAGATTGAACCAGTCAGAAATATTGCTTTTTCGGTAAGTCTGTTTCGGTAGGAAAAGATTTTTTTTAAAGAGAACTACGTAAAACAGCAACAAAAGTAGAGAAATAAACATTTAGAGTAATATTGATGTAAAAAGGCGGTTACAAAGCATACAGGATAACTGTTGATAGAAGAGAGACGTAAATATTCTTTCAGTTAGATTGTTGCACACCTGAATAGCACAGATAAGAGATTATCAGATTATTCTTTCACGTGCATCAAGACAGTGAAAAGCATTGTTTGTAAGTAAAATGAACACGTATTAACCGACCACATAAACATAAGCAAAGTCATGGAATATTTGTAGTTTCGAATACGTTTTAATATTACTTTTTATTTCACATATCATTTGTGTTAATAAAACAAAATGAACGGATGTCAACATAAAACACTTTTATAATTTCAAACTACATTGTTGTGTCAAAATAATATGAGTGATCATTTCAAAGTCATAAACGACATTCTAATATAGAGGCAATGAAGCAAATTAGACATATACATCATTCGGTACTGGCTCAGTGGTCTATAGGTTAAGTATTCGCCTTGGGTCGATCTCCAGTGTTTCAGTCGTAGATGTGAACTGCTGAAGAGTCCCATATTAGGACGAAATGGATGTTCGATGCTTTCTGGTTTTTAATGAATGGCTAACTTGGGTCAATAACATTCAATAATCACAAATCTCTGCACTGACAGTGAATAATGTTATAATTATGACAGTTTCAGTAACTGTTACATGTTCCTCGACATTCGATCTTGTAAACATATCACCAGCAAGAAAAAGTGTGGTAACGAAAGTAGATCAAATTAAATAGTTAACGTAATCATTACTTGTTCAAGAGTGTTATGCTCATGGAGTTGAATGACTTAACTGTACAGTTTTTCTTTATCTTTCCAGACATTATCATCAGAACATACTTAAAAAAGAAATTGGAAGTTCCCTACAGCTAATTAACGGTTAGTTCCATTGAAATACAGAAGAGAAAATCAGTTAATCCAGA